CCCAAGTCAGCGTTCTCGCAGTTATTATTAATAGCGCCACGTTAACAAGTTTTAATAATACTGCAAGTGTGCAGGTGAATACCGGTATTCTTTATGTCATTATTATACTTAAAATAACTTTTGTCAGTTCTTTGATGACTTTACATAAGCTGAAGCAACAAAAGCGAAAGGAGAGCGTACAATATACGATATGTATGAGAGTTGCGACATGTCGGTGTGTAAATTACTATCAGCAAGGTTTCTTTCGAATGCGCCCACCTAGAAGCCACGAACAGCGGGGATTACGTGAGATCCGAATCGAAAATCGAGATAAAAACTGGAGAGCGAACCGTAATTACTGGCGCGGATCACAACGGCGATTAAATCCCACGCTCGATCCATCGCGATCCGTGGCAACAACTTTTAATTGCACTTTTTCGAGCAACGAAACTATGGCACGCGGCTGTTGTACACAGAATAGATGAAGAAAAACGTGAAAAAAGAGACGGAGGAGGAGCGGCGCGCTCTGCAAAAGCTTGCGACGAGATCAATGTTACGGTCGACCGCGGACGAGAATAGAGCCGATAATTCTGCATCTCGCTGTCAGAAGGCGACGACCCAGACGCATTGTGTTACCAGGTAAACGCATGATTTGAGGTCAAAGTGTCATGAAAGGTTAACGGTAGTTGAATGAGTTCGCGTTAAGTTAGGCTTCGGTTTCGCCCGGATGTATCACGGGGCACAACGGCAGTTTAATGATCTTACTAACTCGGACAGGCTTTTCCATTATTAGTTCGACCCGAGGGTAAACTTCATCCGTTTTCGTGTCTCGATATAATTCACCGCTGACGCGACCAAGGAGATAGCATTTTGATAAGATGACGCGTGGATACGAGATGCATAAACATAATTAGGATTGATGTCGGCGCATTCATCGTTTAACACCCTTGTCCAGGACATCGTGACGTCAACGCGCCGCGACTCTATCATTAATGAATTTTTCATAAAAGAGAGTTAAGCGACCTAATCTCGCGCGCTGTTCCCCGGTGTATCGTGACCCGATTGCGAAAGTATGCGCGATCAATTATTTACTCCTTGATATCGTACGGTCAATTGACGAGCTCCAATTAATTTGACATTGTACGGACATCGGCTGCATTAAATGTTTGCCTGTATCAGATAAATGAAAAAAAAAAAAAAAAAACTTTTGTTTATAATTGACAAAACATATTTTTGCAAAAAGGAAGAAAGTAAAATTTCTCGTGACGCAAATGCGCGAGCGCATTTTACCGCTCGACTTCAGATTTTCCGAGGCGACCGGTATTAGCGACCCGACGCGTCCGAGGTCGTCTATTTTTACGACAAATAAAAATATTTTATTAAAGCGAACGCGGAAAGAGAGTACCAGTAGTATAACGCGCTGCACAGGGGCGCGGTGCATGGCGCCCTCGGTTATGAAACTTTCATATCCAGACCGTATGCTCACCGGTAATGTAGAGTTAAAGGCAACATAGAGATCCTGGGAAAGTCGGAAGGCACGGTTTATCTGTCCTTAGAGAGCGATGCGGGGTTCCTTTTAGATTACGAGTACTTTACGTATTGTACGTATATACCGGACGATTGTAAAGTTTCGTAAAGCCTCCCGCGAAACATGTATCTTTATATATACTTTTTTTTTAATATGTATAAAAGTATCTCTTATCGTAATGCACTGAAATAATATCTAAAGTGTCATCTAAATGTTTTGATCAACGACGAATAAATTATTGATATCGTTCTCTCAGAAAAGAAATTACTGATATATTACTTTCTCACCTATTAGGGGGGTTTGCTTTTAATTAAACCCTTTATCGCGCACGTGTATAGCCACAATATAAATCCTCATTTTTCAGAGAAAATTCCTAACACGTTACTTCATCCAGCGGCGGGCTAAAACTACCCCCAGCCAAATACAACAATAAGAGAGGGATGAGAGAGCGAACAACAACATTACGACTCTCGAGAATAACGATGACAGCGCGTTGTCCGCAGTTGAAATCCTCTTTCCTTTGGGGGGAAAAGTAAATATTACTGTCGAGCTCGTACGATAGTTTCGTAAATAAAGGGTAGCCGCATGCGTCACGAGCATAATGCGATTCTCAATCATATTAACGCTCTGGCGGACTTACTAGTATTTGATTTTATAAATGCATTTTTCGATGAGAAAGAGAGATCCGATAAAAATATTAGACGAAAAGTTTTATCACCCCACACTTGACGTGTGGAAGTGGAAATAATGTTTTATGTAGACAGCATTCATCGAAGGATTTAACGCGCACGTTAATTGTAATAAAGTTTTTTTCGATTAGATGATAATGATTATTTAAGCGGAAGACGTGCCGCGAGATAGCTCGTATATTACGCAAAGTTTATCACGGGTCATACCAAAATGAACGTGCCAGCTACACGTGTCGGGTTAACCATTAATTCAGGCTTACTCATACACAATTCAAATGCAGCCCGAAACCATAGCGATACGAGCTCGCCGTCCTCTAATTTAAGCCACATCACAAGAGCAGCGCACGTTGATTAGCCTAGGCAAATGATTGGTGATACGTACGCCTGGTCGGCTATCTCGTCGGTAAGCATAGCTTATTTACACAAGAAGCATAGTACTCCGCGTTTGCATTCAGTAGTAAGAAGCTGCAAATCCTATTACATGGTTACAATATATAAATCGCTACGTAGATACATTGAGCTTTGTACATGCGCTGCTTCTGCGATTTTGAATTGTCAATGTTATAAATATTGCATCATTAAATAATACGTGAATTAAAAATGCTAAAAGAGAAAAGTTCTCATTTTTATGATATTTTAAATATCGAAAAACAATTATATAATAATATTATCTTCGAATTATCATTAAATAAAATTAGAAGTTGAGAAATTAACATTTTTCCGCGATTAGTAAATAAAAATAAAATTAATAAATAAAAATAAAAATAATAAATAAAAATAATTCTTTTGAAATTTTTCGTATACTTACCAAGTATTCGGGAAACGGAATTCTACTCTCCATCGATTTCTCTTCTTGGTACAAACGCGGGCTATTCCTACTTTGATATATCTATCGGATTACAATCTGCTAGCTCTTCGCAATCGCAGCGAGTCCATGAAGGAATGAAGGTAAATCCAGTTATCGTACACTTTGCACCCATGACACTAGTAATTTGATTAGCGCCAAATGTCCGTCGATCAGTCCAATTAATAGAGTGACCAAGCCGGTTATCTATCGCTGGAAAATGATAAAAGAGAAAGTTAATTAAACTATAAAAAATAGTAATAAAATACATATATGTAATCTCACGAATAAAAGTGGAAAAAGCGCGAATTATACGTCCCAATAAATATTATGGTAGATTGATCGTCGGTTAACGATTTCATAATCTTCTATTGTACAACGAAATTTATGGGGCATTTTTCGCGTTCTCCAGTTATGTATGTGTTTTCTCTTATCTATTCCCTAGTGTGAAACGCGGTAACTTAGATGATATAAAAGAAATGGACAATCGAAGGAAACATTCAAGGAGACAGAAAATCGTAAAGCTATTTCGTCGGAATATCGCAAAGCACATTTGAGTTTATGGAAGAATATCCGGTAGACGCATATGAACGGAAAAAAGCGGAGAAATGATTATGCACTATGAAACATAACTGAATTAAAAAGGAATTGAAAAGAATTTATTCTGCAAAATCGAATATCTAATCTTTTTAATATCTAATTTATATTTCTTACTTGAAGAAATTTAGTTTTATTCTTAAACGGAATAAAATATTTATTTCTTCCAATCACAAATTGCTAATTGCGACATATATATACATATTGTAAAATATAAAATTCCTAAATCTTTTTTGTAAAATCACTAATTGATTTAAACATTATTAAAATTCCTTTCTTAATCTCTTAATTCGCAGTTTAATTGAAAAAAATAAAAATTTTATTCTGTTATATACATTCTGCATATATACATAAATACATAAATAAATAAATAAATAAATAAATAAATATATATATATATATATATATATATATGCATACAGATATAACAGAATATTTATTTTTTTCAATCAAATTGCAAATTAAAAGATTAAAATGGAGAAACGCATTTAAAAAAATTAATGAATTAATATATATATATATATATATATATATATATATATGTATGTATATATATATATATATGTATATATACATATTCTAAAATTCATTTATTTTTTTTATTCTTTAATTCATTTATTTTTACAATAATAAGCTTGAGAATCAAACAGTATATTGTTATTAACGGGCGTTTTTCAGCAAGCAATACAGATGACACATTATCACTTCATCCTTGTTGGTTGCCGAATATAAACAAGGATAAAATGATTCACTGTATTACACTGTGTCCTCTGTGTCGTTCGCTGAAAAACGCCTAATAATAATTCATTCTATGTTTGTAATATCGCATACATCGTACTCTCGCAATTGAAATCTCGATGACGTAGTAAATCGTGATAATCGCGAGATATCTCCTCATCTAGATCTAATCACCGAAATTTGCATATCGCTCGGATGTAGGACCTTTCGTCTTCCCTGGGAAAACGCACACATGCGCATACAGATGCGCATGTATGTACATGTATGTACATGTATATGTATGTACATGTATATGTATGTACATGTATATGTATGTACTTGGCACGAATACGAGATTCTTCTTAATGCCAGCCATTTTTTGAAAATTAACATACCTGACGATAGTAAAGCACCCATTGCACTTAGATATACGAAGACAATTTCGATCGACTACGAACGACAAGACAAAATGCGATACTATCAGCGGCGATTTCGCGTAACGTTTAACCCATCGAAACGAACGCGTTCGACTCTTGATGACACTTATGACACACTTATGGCACTCACGGTAATTCTACGCGCGCGAGAAGCACTTTTATTATATTATAACGATCGCGAAAAATACGGGACGGTGAAAAATACGCGAATGTGACTCCGCACGCGACGCGTTCCACGATGAACATCGTATCGAGAAGCGACATTTCGATTCTCGAAATATCGAACAAGATGGCGCACAAACGTATTTCCGCAATAGCGGCGGAAGTAACGGCACGGCCATAACTGGACTAACCTTTTTAGGTTGGGTTTATTGGCAGCACGTTGTCACGAACAGTGAGTACGATGTATTATTAAGCATTTTTTCCGTAATAAATATTCTCGTTTCTCGTTAAATCTTGTCGTAAATTTAGCAACAACATCTTTTTACAAAATCCGGATATTTAAACAAAAGTCGCGTGAGAAACAATTGCAAGATGATGTGTTAACATATGCACATAAATCATGTTTCGTTGTCATTATTCGTTGAAAATTTCCTGATTGTTCTAAATTTAGTGTTTAATTTTTCACAATCCTATTCCTTCCCCGTTATATTTTTCCTTGAAATTATAAATCGAAACGAATCTTGGTTACATCACAATATTTTCGAGTAAGAAGAGCTTTGCGATTATCAAACAATTATCGAAAGACTACTCTTTGTAACATTAAAATCATATAATTATCATGACAAGTTTATAATTCTCAAGATTCTATTCTAGATAAAACATCATGCAGATTTTCGTGAAAACCCTCACTGGTAAGACCATCACTCTCGAGGTCGAAGCCTCTGATACCATTGAAAATGTGAAAGCTAAGATCCAGGATAAAGAGGGAATCCCACCAGATCAGCAACGACTTATCTTTGCTGGCAAACAATTAGAAGATGGACGTACTCTCTCTGATTATAACATTCAAAAAGGTACTATATATACAATTTTATAATTTACAGAACTTGAAATATGATTGGGATCATAAATGTAAAAGCTTTTACATATAACAATTTGGATTATTTGCTCTAAGTTTATAAATATATATCTCATTTTGAATGATATTGAGATAGAAATAGACAATAAAACATGCAATAATCATTTCAATAGAATCCACTCTCCATCTCGTACTACGTCTCCGAGGAGGTGTAATTGAGCCTACTTTGCGTATATTGGCACAAAAATACAATTGTGACAAAATGATCTGTCGCAAATGTTATGCTCGTCTTCATCCTAGAGCAACTAATTGCCGTAAGAAAAAGTGTGGACACACAAATAACATTCGGCCAAAGAAGAAGTTGAAGTAAGCTAAACACTCAAGTTCTATTTCTATGTTATGGAAATGGAAATATATATTTCTTATGTCTGGCTTATCATCAATAAAGATTGATTGATAAATTGATATCTTGTACTTTATTTCTTATGTATTTCCTTAATACAATAATTATTATATAATTTTTAAAATTGAAGATGCAATGCCAAGCATTAAGTAAGCATAAAATTACCTTATATTGACAATAATACTTTATTAATATAGAGAATATCTGCAATATATTTTATTTAATATATTTACAATATATTATAATAATAATTTAATATATAAAGTGCAAAATTAACTTAATTTTATCCAGGACATATTTCTTCCATAAGCAATTTATATTGAGAAGCATAAGTTTCATATAAATTTGTATCGTTTGGATTTGGTGTCGAACCACCTGACTAAAAATATTTATGAAGTTACAAGATACTATATTATATTATATGTATCATATTTTTACGTACCGTGGCTCTTTTCACATATTGTTCATATATATTTATGCTTTCATTTTTAACACTAGGTAGTGTAATAATAGTAGCCATAGATTCAGGAAAGGATGCTTGTTGGATTAATTTTGAACGCAATTTGCTATTATCTGTGGTATATGTTGCATTACGTCCTATTAAAACAAACCTAAAAGAGAAAATGTTGAGTAAAACATATAAAATTTTATTTATACTTATGAGAATATATTATATATATTATTATTACCTTTTATAAAGAAGAATATCATTTCGTTTTGGATATTCTGGTTGTGTGCCATATACTTCTTTCATAGATGGAAACAATGATTCAAATGATATTAGCTCTGAGTTTTCTTTAGAAATAATTAATTGAGAATCATCCATTTGTTGATGACTTTCATCTTCATCTGAACTTGAGTCCTCACTTGAACTGCAATATATCATCCATTTAGTAACACTAATAAATTATGATTGTAATTAATTTTAAAAGAAATATGGTAATCAAACTTTATATATACCTTGCACTAGATGTTGTACTGCTTGTACTGCTCTGACCAGTCATAGACGGATTTTTCATATTTAAATTTTTATTACCTGCTTCTTCTCTTCGCCTACCTGGTCGTACACGAACAGCAAATGGACTGTAGCATGTGGTAAAGTGCGGCATAAAATCTCTAATGGAGTGACTTATTTTATAAGCATATATCTCAGATAGCAAGGACAATTCATATGGTCTAAAATATTTACATTGAACTTTTCAATTAAGTTTAAATTGATAATATACATGAAGATGTATATAATTACAAAATAAGCAATACCTATGATAATCATAATAAACGTCAATCATTTCTTCTATTGAATTTTGCACTTGTATCATTTCTGAACAGGATTTAGTTATTTCATCAAATGCATAAGGAAGACATTTCAATACATTTTTATCCCACCATTGTGTTAAAAGCCTTGTCTTACGCGAATAGCGGCATGCAGGAGGATGGTGAAGATAATAATCTGTCAAAAGTTCCCATATTGGGGGCTTGCCTTCTTCAGGTACAAACAATCCTAAGATATATTAAAAAATAATTATATATAGAATATTTTGCAAAAATTAAATATTACAGATATATGTTTATTTACCCAGAAATAAATTAATTGTATGCTGTTTTTCTTGATCACTAAATGTATTACTGTAATATCTACTCAAGGTTTGCATAATGTCATTACCCTGACTTGTCCATGGAGCAGTTTTTCTAAATAATAATAGTTTTATGATTAAATTTATTTTAGTTTTATACTGTCATATGCTCAAATGTAATCATATTAACCTGTATGTTTTAATTCTATGTACTAATTGTGAGCCACCATATTGCAAAGCTAGGGTATCTCCATGATCTTCATATAATTCTTCTAACATCCTCACACAATCAGAATCAAATTCAAGTTTAGGAGTTTCTAATACACCCAAAGCACATAATTGAAATCCTAAAGCACATTTTCCTACTGCAAACTGAGCTGTGTTAGTTCGATCTAAACAGTCTACACAATTTGTTCTGATAATCCCAGTTTGTACAGTTCCTCTCCTAGCAAAACATTCTGCCACTTTACTCTCAATTTGATTTAACTCATACAATTTATTGACATCTATATTTGAATTGTAGTTATATATAGAATTTGTTTGTCTATTAGAATCCGTTTTAGTTAAAGCATTGATAGAGCTTTTGGTATCATTTAAATTGGATGATAAAGTCGAGTTTGAATTTGTCTTGTGAAATTTTCTGATATTATTGTTTTGTGATGAGAAAAGATATCTCTGACTATAGTAAGGATTATGTGATTGGAAAATACCAGTCTTTAGCACAGCATTATAAGCAATATTTGCCAAACGCCCCATAACATTAACTTCTTTCCTGTAAACAAAATTGTAATACTTTTATATTGTCATTTTCTGAATTTTCATGTTATAATTTAACATGACTTGCCTTTTATTCATACGTGCCATATCAAAACTTATATATTGAATATGATGCTCTGGAGGTAAAAATTGATTTAAATATTTTACAGCTACACTTAATTCTTCGCTTAATGTACTTTCATGTTTTTTTTTCTCCCGTTTTTTCACTAAATTTAACAATATTATCGGTGATCCATATCTTTTTAACAGTTGATTAAAATGTGCTCCTAAAGTAATTTTATATATATATAAAAACAATAATCTTATATTTATAAAAACAAAATTAATTTGTTGATTTTCAATATTAACCTGCTGTTTCTACATAAGGATCGGATAAGTCACAAATTATAGTTGGCTTTGGTACCATTTTACTAACGTCTTGACTCCAATGAGCAGGCACTGATCCGCGCATTTGTACAAAAGAACTGAAACGTCCTTTACTTAAAGAACTTACACCAGAATCATGAACGATTTGTTCCGTTTCTACTTCGTTCGCGACATCTCCCTATAATTATATGATTATTTATTAGTTTATAAATATTTATGAGAAATTCGTATCATAATATACAATTGTGTATTTACATTAAAATTTGCACCACGTTTCAAAAAACGAGTCCCTGCATATTTATTACTTCTTCTGGCAATAATAGTAACGTACATAGACCTCCCAAAAATGCTCACATTTGATTGACCAATAAAGCCATGTATTACATACAATATCCAGTCAGGATGCAAATCTTTTTCTACAGGTTTTAACAAATAGGAATTCCATACAAAGCGACGATTTGGATTGCTACGTATACTATAATCCATATATTTCTCGCTTTCACTATAATCATGTTCCATATCATTATTGATCATATATTCTAAATATTGCACTTAAATAAAATATTCACTCATTTTCTCTAATTGAATTATGTATATAAAGAAACAAGTCTTTTAAGTTCCATACCATTCAGCCTGCCAATCTTTTCTAAACGTCCACATGTTAAAAAAATCCTCAGAGTCTTTCAATTCTTCAGATTTCTTCTGTTCAATAGGCGTATCAATGGGAATATCAGATTTAATGTGCCTTGGTGGTGCCATATTACTTTGAAATGTATGCGATATGTCATACGAATAACTGAAGTAAAAATTACTACTGAGATCGATACTTTGAAACATCTTTACATATCGCTGTTCATCTGGATGGAACACTCGTACGATATCATTTGGTATATATATCATTGATGTATCTTCTATCTTATATATCGTGTGATGACCAATAACTGCAATTCGGCGACGTTTCGTAACCAAAATTATATAATATCCCTCCAGGAAACGTACAAAACCTAGATATTAAATATTTTTTTTTCTAAAATATATTTTTTATGTTATCATTATAATTCTTATTAATTATTTTATTTTTTGAATACTCCTTATATTTTTACTATCTATTAGTAATTATTACATTTAAAAGAAAAAAAAATTGCTAGCTTTTTATACTAGTAATTAATTATATTAATTTGTATATAATATATTAATTATATTAATTTATATATATAATCATAATCATAAACGCACAAATATAAAACGTCCATTATATGGTGTGTAATCCATGCATTCAATTTTTAATTACTCTATGAGAAATATAAATACATAAATAGCATACCATGCAAAAAAGACTATGTACATACAAGATATATCATAATATCGCTTATTAATTCTGTTAACCATATAATTCTTACTCTATTTTAATTGATTGCATTAAATATTATATTAACCAAATAATTATTATATATAACTTTCTAGTGTAACCAATATTTTGTCATGTTCTTTTAAAATTAATATTTAAGATATATTTCACCAACTAATTTCATGCTTAACAATTTGTAATAATATATTGATGCATTAACAAATAACTTGCATACCCTTTATTTCCATTGCTAATTGTTTCTAGAACAAAGTTACTTTAACTATCTTTGTCAATATGAAGCTCATTATGCCTTACCAAGAAGAGCAAAAGCTCGCACTAGCCTGGGGAAAGTATCTCTCTGCCACATATTCTTCCAGGAGAAATTAGTTTGTGTCGGTTTATGCAGTGGTTTTTGTGATTCTTGAGGCTCAGGCTCCTCTGATATACTCGAACTAGGTGCAGGATCTTTACTATTCTTGTCTTCATTAGCAAGTAAATATAAGTAAACTAATTTTGTATGATGCATAATTAATAATAATTTCCAATAAGATGCTTTTAATATCTGATATAGTAATATTAGTAGTTTAAGAATAGTGTGTGTGATATATGTTGCGGTAGAGTAGTTAAATATCATACCGTTAAAGAAGCATAAAATATTGAGGAGCCTAAGCTTCAATATTTGTATCAATAATGTAGAATAATGAAGAGAAAAAGAGAAAGAAAAGAAAAGTGCATACGCTATAAATACAAGATAAATGCTTGAATCAAAATATGTGTTACACTATATAAATTATTATATTTAATACACATATATACTATAGAAGCTTATATACGTGCAGTTAATAGTTGTATATTTATTGATACATATAGAAAGAATGTTTAATAATCTTACCAACAATTCCAAAGGCAGATATAGCACGAGCAACACTGCCAACATTGTTGCGTTGCCCTGTTCGTGTTCTATTACCCATCTCTATCATATTAACCAGATCTTGTATTTCATCCTGAGTATACTCTCTCTTATCATCTATTACAATCAATTCTCTTGGTTCCATTCTGTCAATTTTTAGAACTCGAAAACGCGTTAATATATTGTTTGATCCCATTAGATAAAATCGCTATAAAATATAAAAATGCAAATGTAAATTATAATTGTATAATTAAATTGATAAAAAGGCTCAAATATATATGTTTAATTTTTTTTTATTTAAAACTTACGGATTTTGTTTCGTAAAGATTAATTTTCTGTATAGAGGAAATAATTGGATGAAATACTACAATCGGTTTGTTTTGTTCCTCCATGATAATGTAGTATTTATTATGATTTTACAGTGAGAAATTCTTGAAAAATTTTTTTAATTTTTGCGATTTGTCATTTGATTTTGCTTTCAAGCTGCTTCGAGTTAGAAACCCACGAAAACTTAACCTTTCAATCAATTGACAATTTATTTGACTAGAGGGCGTTTCATTTCATGAAACAAATCAATCTCAAAATAATGGAAATATTTGCGAAATATCAAATATGTAATGTAAATATTTTAATTTTTTTGTATGCGATCTATTTTTTATTCTATCGATGTTTTCATAGTGATGCACCTTGAGCACTTTGCTTCATATGTTTGCAATAAAAATATATTAAAGCAAATTATTTTGTAAATTTATTCTAATTTTTATTTAGAAAGACTAAGATTAAAAAAGACGTATGCATTTTTTTCAGATATTTCTATTGAAAAAAACGCATCAGATAAAACTTTCCTGTACATTTTAAATGTGCCAAAAGATTTGCTCTTTATTCCACTTACTGCAATAATGTACAGTAAAAATAACAGATCTATATTAAAAATGATAGATCTATATTTAGTAGCTGGAAAGAAAGAGAGGAGAAATGAAAAGTGCATCTAGAGAATTTAAAAGAATAAAAATCTAAAAATAATAATACATAAAAATTAATATTATGTATTTTTTTCATGAGGAATGTGGGGCGCACATTTATGTATTTATTTATTTAGATGAGATTTACTTTAGAGCACATTCAGTATTCAACTTTAATTTTATTTTCTCTTTCTTATGATATATAAGTATAACATAATTACAAATGCTATCATTTTTGTGTGCTTACAGTGATATAGAAGCAACATTACAAGTACTATATTTACAGATAACATCTGTATAATAAAAAAAGCACCAAAAATCTAATGATGAAAAAAGGATAAATATTGTAGACCAGCATAAGTATCAACCAATTATTCCACCGCTCTGTTTCATTAGAGTTGCAATTTTCTTTTATATCATAAATATTATAAATAAGATAAAGATTTCTGTACGTTTCAAATAAATTTATATATTTTATGTATGTAATACTGCGCACACATATTAAAAGGTGATAATATCACAGTTATAATAAGATACAATCCTGGCAATGTAGTGATTTTTGGATCCTACTTAAAATAATTTAATTTGATTTATTTTTGAGAAATGCGCACAATACTTGAGAACAAATTATTTTTGTGCCATGTATTACCTGTGTAAAATTCCACACACAGTATCATATTGTCTGCGATATATGAAAAGCTTCATCGATGAAATATGATTGAGATATAAGAAAAGTAATATAGTACTTGTAATGAATAACGTTAATGTGGAATACATAAATATTTTATATTTTAATTTCATATAATCAAGATGAGATAAGACACTCATGATTACTTTAAAAATGTGTCCACAAATATCATGTAACTTCAATAGCTGCACATTCGTCAAATTAATCCTATTATGTTAAATGAATCACAGCAGCTTGTTTTAATTTAATCTAACCTAACCAATTATATTATATGCTTCTCATTAAAATGTGTAAAACTGTACGTCGCACATTTAATACGATTAATATACTACGTAATAAAATGTAATACACTAATGAAATAATTAAATATTATTTTTGAAAGCATGATAAAATCCAGGCAGCATACGCTTGTGTTTACATTCGAATCCAAAGCACTGAGAGGTTAGGTTAGATCGAAAAAATTTATCGTTTAACAGTTGGCAGCCCTACGAGATAGGCTGTGCGCGTATATAAAATAAATTTGAAATCGCTTCTAGCCTAACCATCTTCACGCGATCGACTTTATTTGAATTGCACGGCATCGCATCGAATTATGATGCGGCGCCGATTTGTTCGAACATAATTCGGGACATCGCGATGCTGTATAGGCGTCGAATGAGCACGAATTGTCACGCAAATATGATAAATCAAATCTACTCACTCGTTCACCGGCTGTTCCACAGGCCGCTCCACTCGCTCGCCTCGGGACGTCCCATTCCGATCTTGATGCACACGATATCATCAACGAGAACGCGCGACACTTTATTCGGCACTCCCGATATTCGCTCGCATCCGATAATCATCATCAAGGGCGCAAATAACGCGACGCGACTTCGCTCCATCTTCGCGATGACGCCATCACTGAATATCGTCAAAAATCGCTGTCGCGCGTTTTCATCGACACACTATGAAAGTCGCACGATCATCCTTGGACACTTTCGACGCTCTTTCACTCGCGATATTCGTTTAAAAACGGTTAAAAGACGCGAAAAATGCGGACGTACGACGATCCGTGTAACTGCGTATGACTCCGAGTCACGTATGACGCGTATGACGTACTATGACGCGTATGACGTAGCAGTCACGCGCCAACATGGCGGCCGAACCAGTCCGCATTCGTTTCTGCGCATGGCCATTCCTGTGCGCAACGTTCGCACAACTTTGATTTCTGAATATTGTCTACGGCTTTAATTAATAGCACATAATGATAAATATATAAAGATGGAATCAATTAATCATATTGGTCATATATGTAGACTTGCCTGAAGAAAGAGAGTTGTTCTCGATGTTCACTTTTAAAGGAATAAAGAGAATTATATATAAATGTAAATAAATTATCCGAAGAGAGAAAAAATTGAGAGATATTTTTAATTTTTTAATAAAAAATGGAAATGTCTATTCATAGGCTTGTTCTTCTTTTCCTCTTTTGTGCAATTTCGATTCAATATATAACGTAGAAAATTCATAGTATATTGCATTTATTTTTATATATTCACAACTATAATATTCGCGCGATCATTTTTTGACATTTACAATACTCGTGTGCCTTGTTCTCGATGTTCACTTTTAAAGGAATAAAGAGAATTATATATAAATGTAAATAAATTGTCCAAAGAGAGAAAAAATTGAGGGATATTTTTAGTAAAGCTTGGAAATGTCTATTCATGATAGAAATGCAAAGAAAGAAAATTATTATGTTTAAAATAATAATTTCATATGAAATACAACATTAAAAGTTACATTATAGAACTTGACTTTCTAAAAGCGTAATAAAACAATCAAATAGTAGACAGAGAAAAGACTAATTGTAAAAGAAAAAAAAGTTGTTAACTTAACTAAACCATTTAACTAAATTATTACCTTTCTAACTGGAATATTTAACTATTATAAATCTAACATGACATTTATTTAACTTAAATATTTTCAATATTTTAATTTAAAAAATAATAATTTAGTTAAACGGTTTAGTTGAGTTAACAAAAACTTTTTTTTCTCAGTGTACGTGTGTGTGCGAGACTTTAAAAATATACTTGGATATAAATACATTTATATTATTAAACGATTAATATATCTCGTGAGGTTTAATAAATAATTAATCTGTATACACTAAGAAAAAAAGTTGTTACCTTAACTAAACCATTTAACTAAATTATTGTCTTTTTAATTGGAATATTTAACTATTATAAATCTAACATGACATTTATTTAACTTAAATATTTCAATATTTCAATTTAAAAAATAATAATTTAGTTAAATGGAGTCGAATTAACAACTTTTTTCTCAGTGTACGTGTGTGTGTGTGTGTGTGTGTGTGTGTGTGTGTGTGTGTGTGTGTGTGTGTGCGTGCGTGCGTGTGTGTATGTGTGTGTGTGACTTTAAAAATATACTTGTATATAAATACAATTCTCACATACGTCACAGTACGCGTTAAATATTTCGGCAGCGAGCTAACACGTCATTTGATCTTGTGACGTCATTTGGCCTTGTGACGTAGCGCGCTATTGTTTACATACGCGACGACCTCCCCTCATTCGCACGGCGACATTCCAACGGGAGAAAGTAGCGATACGGACCGCTCCGTATTATCGAATTCTTTTCCTAAAGATACGATCGCGATTAGATCGAAATATAATAATTCGACTATTACAAATGACAAATAATTAACTCTTATAATAAATGCAATTGTGGCGACGATAAATTCATCGAAACGTGATCTTTCATTATTGCAAATAAAAATTGAAGTGAAAGGGGCAAAAATTACAAATTTTCTCGCAATATTCTCCGATTATCGAACTTTACGAATAATAATTATTTCTTTAACATTGCGTAGAATGAAATTCGATTTCGCCCGATGTTTTAAACTTTCCTAAACTGCATGCATATATATCATATTAATTAAACGATTGCTGTATCATCAATTTACATTACTTTAATATTTTAATCTTATGATTCGCGTTATTATGCATATATTATACATCAACAAATAGAAATAGTTAATTAGTGTAAGAATCGAATGGTGCATGATTTTGGCTTCGTTTAAAAATCGAGTGAATTATTGTAATTTTTGTGTTCCTCTCTTGCAATAATAATAAAATAATAATAATATTATAAAAATACGTATCTCGTATGATTATTTTGCGATCGGGAGTGCCGTGCAAAGTGTCTCGCGATCGTTTCTGTATATGACTGAAATATAATTAACTGAAATATAATTGTTTGTTCGCGAGTGAATACGTGACTACGAGGAAACAACAAAGGATGAAACAACAAAAGAAAAGGACATCTGGAAAAGTATCGGACAGTAAGAAAGCAGGGAGAGAGCCTGAAGCAGCCAGAGACATGCGGTGAGTAATTTATAAAAATTATTTATTATTTATTATTTATATACACTATTTTTAAAATAGATATATATTGCTTATTATTTTATTATCGTTTTATTTTTCGATCATTTAAATATATAATTCGGATTGAAATGCAGTAAAACAATCGAATCGTAGATCTAAATAATTAACTTAACAAAAAGATCCATAAAAGATATATTAGTTCTTTTAATAAATAATATCGTATACTTAATCTATAAAAGTGAAATATTATCTATTTATTTCTAAATATTAAATACTATAAATTTAATAGTTATATATTTTGTAAAATTTAATTAAAAGAATCTTTAAGATATTCCAAAAGAAACGAAGAACTTTTCTCAACGTAGAAAAAGTTAATTATAAACAAATTTATATTTAATTATTATAATTAATTTGTATTTAATTTTATTGGAATTTTATTATTAATTTTATTGCATTGTCAAACTCTACGCGATCTCTGTAATGATAGCTATTCACGAAATAGGTACAGTGAAATAATCAATTATTCGAAAAGAGGCAATAATATACTTTTAAATCTAATTTAAACTTTTGATAAACGATATAAAATTTTTTTATTATGATGAGAAATTTTTATTAAAGATCATAATTGCAAATAAAAATGGAAATAACTTCACAAAGTATATTAATCGTTTAATAAATAATTAATCCGTGTGTACGTGTACGTGTGTGTGTGTGTGTGTGTGTGTGTGTGTGTGTGTGTGTGGTGTGTGACTTTAAAGATATACTTGTATATAAATACACTTGTATATAACTTTAAAAATATATATTTCCGTTATGTTAATTATCCGATTTTTATTCGATTATTTTATTGCGCGTTCTGAATCAAATTATATTTAGATCAAATGATATCAGAGAGAATATTTATTTATTATATTAGAATTCTAAATGTGTGTGTGTGTGTACACATATATATTAGGATAGAAACGAAATAGAAATAGAAGAATAATTATTGCTTGTAAAGATTGCAACAAAGTAATAATTTATAATTTTGATTCCTATCGTATAATCGAGTATCGTATTTCGAGAGCAATCAACTATTTATTAATAATAAAATTGTATATAACTTACGAATATATTCCACTTATTCCGGACGTTAATATCGCGACAACGACGAATAAACTTTTCAAAAAAGTTCAATTCAACTATTTCATATATGAGACAGTTCTACCAATCACTGATACAAAAAACTCGTCAATTGATCAGTTGGTGAAACTGTTTCAGTCCTGAGTATTTTCTTAAAAGAGCTGTTGGCGCACATACATGCGTGTATTATGTTTACGCGCGTCACGCGTTCGAACGAACCTTGACATTCTTGCTCCAGCTTATCTTATTGAGATAAAAATTGCGGTACTTTGTTAATCTAGTGATTTTAGTGCATTTTTCCAAGAGAAAAAAAATTTTATATTTCTATAATATTAGTAATTTTCAATATTATTTTGCCAATATATTAACTAATATTTGTATATAAGATTTACAATTGTCCTTATAAGAATTTTTTATATAGAATCCAGACTTAAAAAGTTATATAGATAAAATGATATACACTTGAAATTAGGTATAAAGGAAATTGGGCGTTAATTAAAAAATATCTTAATATTTTTAATTTATTAATACAATTCTCATTATTTTGCAGTACTACCATTTACAATGTTAATACAGAAAATTGTAATAGCAGAGCAGTATTACATCTATTATCTACATAATTTTCACTTACAATATTCATATTATATTCAAATAATATTTAAGCATTCTTTAGCAACAAACACGAGTGATTGTAGTGTACAAATACCAACGTATGCAACTGTGAATCCAAATAATATCTTGTCTTTCTTGCCACCTGCTAGATATACAGGCTTGTCTATACTAGTCTATAAGCAAGAAGAAATTTATATTTAAAAATTGATCATAATTAAAAATAATCGATATGTATTTACCTGGAAAAATTTGAATTTTTGCAACATTTTTGGATTAAGAGAGGCTGGTTTGTCAGTAGAATATCCTGACTTAGGTATAACTGTTAATGGTTTGGTCTTGATAGTATCATAGATCATCACTGGTGGTTCTGTCCTCTGTAAAGGCACAGGAGACTGAAATAACATAAACAATTTCCCACACATATTGAATAAAAATAATACATAGAAATTAATCTTTGATCTCCAGAATATGAATAAATGTACAAATAGATAAAAAATAAATACATAGATCAAGCACTACGATATAATATACTGATTATTTTGCAATTTCAAAGTAATACTAATTAATAGAGCATTTAGCTTGTTTTAGATATTTTATCTATTGTCAAATCAACATTATACTGCATTACAATATAAATCTAACACAGATGTTACATGAAATACAAGACTATGTCCATACTAGACATGGCCGATTGACTACTCTATATATTTATCAAACTTAATAATGAATTGACGATCAATTCTGAACGCTGTCATCGTGTTCAAAGAAAAAACAATGCTGTGCTACTAAATAATATAAATCAATAAATCTTAGAGAAATGTCACAAAGTGAAATACGAAATGTAACCCACAATACAACGAACACTCTTATGTAAAAACGTCATAAGTTTTTCGCCAAATTTTTGTTATGGACGGATCATATCCATTTTCACTTACAAGAGGATAGAGCGGTTGAAAATTGGCAGATGGTTTTATTCTACCAGTAAACGAATTGTATTGATAAAACGGCATTTTTGCAGTTACGCAACTGACGTTACCGACTTTGCTGAACCTGAGCCTTTGGGGACGATCTGGACGATCACGGAGCTTCGGCCATAGACTTTACTGATACAAGTTGTGTAGTTATAACCAGAGGTTATAACACATTTGCACGAGATAATATGACGTTTGAAGCGAGAAAGCAAATGGCCCAGGTGACAAATATAGTTAAAATGGACAATTTAAAAATGAAGGGAACACGGAAGAAGAGATGAAAAAGAAAGCTTTAAAAATAGCTTATATAAGGAATTTTTCATGTAAAACGCTTATTTAAAATTTATAGCTAGATAAAATCAAACTTAATAAGATAAAAGTAATGAATGAGGATTCTCTTGCTTTACACAATGTTGCATTAAATGAAAAATGAAATTGTAAAAAAATTATGTGAAATACATGTAAAAGTAGAGGAAACCCCAAGCCACAAAATAATTTTAATATTTTTATATTAGATGGAGTTATTCGTTTATTCTAATATTTTCATTACACTATTAAAATAAAATTTTAAACAGTATTTATGCGCGATTTCTATATAAATTGTATATATTTATATTATTATAATTATAATACAATTAACTATAAGAAAATTTTAATATTATTTATTATTGTCTATACTTTGACAATTATATGTGCATTGATATATATCTTAGAGTATAATTTTATCACAATGTTACACATCATCGTGAGAAAAATCTTATATTTATTTTATTATTATATGTATTGAAAGTAGTCAAATTTTAGTCTATGTTGTACTTCACAGGAAAACATTTTATAGTTTTCAACACTAGCGCACTCTGGCAGTGACTATTATGAGGTTAGACATAGTCATACAAGATACTAAAAATATTATGTGAGAAGGTATTAATTATATCTTATATAATAATAATTTCCAGTTATCTAATTGTAGAGTATAAACAACATAGAAAAAAATTGGATCAAGCTCAAATGTTAATCTTATTCTTACATATACACATGAGTACTTGATCAACCCTTTCTATCTCATGATTATTCTTTTGTTGAACATTATTTGATATCATTGCAGCATAGTATAAAACGCAAATAAAATATCTATTTTGTTTCAGGTTCTATTTGACATTACAGTGACAGAAAGCTGCTGTCATCAAAGTATGCTATTCCTTGTAATCGAAGAAAGAGGATAACGTTATAGATATAAATATTTTTGATTGCACTGGTCCATATTCTCATTTGGGTATGCATTATTTTAAATCTAATTAATCTTAGTTTTTTATAATGAATGCATCTGTTTGGATATTTAATAATATTTATATAAATAGTATAGAATAAATCCATATATACAATAAGAGAGGGAGTGTACGTATATATGTAATATTTCTCCATTTTGTGTTTTATAACATACATAACATGCCATTATATTAGGTATATAATAATGGATATTACAGAAATGCTATTCAGACAAATAATTTCCTACTAATTGCATATATATTCACATTATTGTTATGTAATACTTTATTGTTATATAATTCTTGATATTTTGAGCATTGATTTATCAGAATATATGCATTCAATTGTATTTTATATCATAAGATATACACCTATATCATATATATCTATCTAATATACACAATTTCAGGATTTCTGCATTGGAAAGTTTATCTGAATATATATATAAAAAAATGGCATACAATTTATATTGAGTCATCAAGTATCATGGAACTCTCAGTGACTACATCTGTTTGCTGTGTAAAAACAACGGTATCTTAATTTATACTTTATCTTATCAAATTACAATATGTAAATATTCTGATAAAACATATTGTGGACTTCGAAGTATATATTACATATAGCTTAAAATTGACGTTAAATCTTTCAAGTAAAATTGTTTCAATATCTCTCCGCCATGGCAGCTCCGTCATACTGTTTTACCGACTGAACGATAATAACTCGAAGACGTCATGGCTGAAAGATGCAATTTCGTGATTTACAACAATGTGTTAATTCATTAAATTCCATATAATAAAACAGATATGCCACAACAAATATCTATGGTGAAGTATCAAGTATATGAAAGAGACAAATTGATTTTAAATTCGATAAGAGGAAAATTTTTAGTTCATTATGCAGTCATTGTGTTGATTAATAGATAGATAATGGATGTGTTGCTTGTGTAGCGTGCAAATCAAGAGAGCCACTTTTATAACATCTTATATAAATTATAATATTGTGAGAACATTGATTAAGCTATTGCAACATTTTACATTCATAAATAGGCTTGTAAAAGCTTGGTTAATTATGTGAATAAAAGAAGTAATGATTAATTTTATTTCTAATTATTTTATTAGCAATTTGTTTTCAGGATGTTAATTCAAAATGTACTTACGATATTAACTTAAAACTGCATCAAAATCATAGAATTGAAAATAAACGGATATATCAAGCAGCTGTAAAAGATGCTTTGTTTGGAGATAAAGGTTTGCCTTATATGCCAACAGAACCACCAGCATCCTTAAGTGAAGAGATTGTGGAATCTGATCCATTATATGTGTGTAAACAATGTAAAGATTGGTAAGTTTGTATAGTAACTTAGTTGTATAATTTTATGATGCATTTTACTTTATGGATACAATAATTCTTGTTTCAGTTTTCGCTTTCAAAATAGTTTTGAGGATCATAAGAAACGACGTAGTTGGATCTTAGGATTTTGGTGTCGCAATTGTTTTATTACAGTATGTACTCATATAACCAAAACAGGTTCTGCATGTCCTGCATGCATAAAAAAAGACATGAACAAACGTTGGTATTTGCGAAGAAGAGGTTTAACTAAATATCAGAAGCTGGGTGTTATAAAGGTATTCTACAACCAATGCCAATTTTGTGAACATGTAAAAATGCATGATTTAAGTGCAATAGATATGGGTGATCTAATGTTAATGCCTTTATCTGCCAATATGTATGAGAGTGATTGGTCACCTGAAGTTGAAATAATATGTGAAGCACTTATGGAACGCTCACTTTTGTCACGTATACATATTATGGACTGGTTAAAAATACATAATTTGGAAAATAACTGGTGGAAGTTGGATAAAAGTAATAATAATATGATAACTAAACTTGTTGAAGGTTACAAAGGTCAGGAATTATTTAAAACCTTTGAGAAGTCAACAATAAATGAATCTATAAATGTCAGTTCCTCTGACAATTTTAATGATAAAGATGCAAATAAGATTGCGGACAAAAATGTATCAGAAAATGAAGATAATCCTTGTATGTCAACTGATATTACTTTTGTAGATTGTGGTCCAACTTCACAACATTTTGAACCAGAATCATCAGTGAGCTATGTACCGAAAAGACAAATAACAGGTATTACAAAATCAGCACATAACAGTATGAAAAGCTTAACTGATGTGATAAAAATAAATAATAAACATAAAATTACAACTTATAAAGATCTTCATTCATTTAAATCAGATATGACTAATGAAAATACTACCATTGTAAAATCAGGTAGTTCTAATAAAAATTTTGTCATTAGACAATCATCCAAAAACTGTGTGCAACAATGTAAAAAAGCAAAGCCATTTGTAAAAAAAATTGTAAATAACATCAATAAGCCTAGTAATCCAGCATCAGTAATAGAAGCTGATATTAATAAAATTCTGGATAACCCAATTAAAATTGTAATTTCTGATAAAAAGGTTTTACCTAAAATATTACCTAAGACTAATTCAAATCATTTGAAGCAGAGTCAAACTTCAAACAATAGTTTTGAGATATCTGAAATATTACCTAAATCTAGATTAGGATATTTGGAACAAAATAAAAAATCAAAAAGATATAATTCCAAGATATTGAATATCCAAAGTTCACGGAATGTTAGTAATAAGATATTACCTAAGATTAATTCAGATCATTTGGAGCAAGATCTTCAAACATCAATAAACAATAATTCAAAAATACTAAGTATTGAAAGTCCACAAAATGTGGATATTACATCAATAATTGATCAACTTCCGTCTCATCTTATTTCCAATAAAAAATTGGTTGTTATTGGACAAGATTCAAATAATGTAATTGCCTGTGACAAGAATGAAGTCAGCACTGAAAAAAGATTAAATACGTTGGTATTAGATAATAGTAATGATGCAAATACCAATATGTCACAGAAAAATTGTAATTTTATTAACATCAAGAAACAAGACAAATTTGTGATAAAAGACGGAAAAAAGTATCTCATTAAATATCAAAATAATATAAAGGATACAGAAAATCCTTCCAATTTGAGACCAATTATGAACAGTATGACGAAAGTTATAAAACAGCAAACATCCGAGCACAACACGTCAGTATCCGTGTCTACTAACTCTAGTCAGGCCGAGAATATTGATATAGAACAAGTTTCATTTTCTAACAATATTTCTACACCTTCTATTACTACAGATCTTTGTTTAACACCTTCACCATCTCCTTCTGAATCATCCAATTATTCTGACTGGACATATGAATCATATGTTAGAAAAAATTCGATTAAAAGACTACAAATTGCACCTCCACAATTGATCATGATGCAGTCCTCTTCTGGTACGACCCAGAAAAAATATTTGTTTGAAACAATATCACTCGTCAAGAAAAATGAAGATATTTATATGAATGTAAAAGTAGTAGATCGCATTTCAAAAGAAGGTTTTCGAGATACGTGTGAAGTAATACCAAAATATAGAGAACAAATGATTGATGAGTTTGATGACTTGGATAGTTTTGAATTGAAAGAACGGATTAACCATCTACAACTTGTTAATGAAGAAATGAGGAAAGTTTTGAATTTTTTATCAAGCAATGTCCTTTGGGAGAAATCGAGATCTATCAATACTCTTCAACATATATTGGAAAAATGCCTACAAAAGTGTAATCAAGATATGACAGATAAAAAGAACGATGATGTGATATTAGACGAATGGGAATCAGAAATATCGGAAACGGATTCTCATAAATGTTTATCATGTAATAAGCTTATGAAACCTAAATCGTATATTCCTGGATTTTCAAAATTATCTAAAGATGATGATATATATTGTTCTTGTTATAAACTTGTTTGTCACGAATGTTTATCTTACCAAGATAATCTATCACGGTTTACTGCACATCAGAACTACCATAAGAATTGCGAACCTTATGTTTGCCCAGATTGTCATTCCAAATTTGATTCTATTAGATCTTTAGAAGTCCACACATGGACTGTTTGTTTTCATACTTTGAAAAAATTTGTTCTTTCTTGCAAAATTTGTGAAATAGATGGTTTTAGAGATATGGAATCGATTACTAGACATATTGCTATCATGCACAGCACCACGAGAATTGCTTGTGAAGAATGTGGTAAGATACTTTCTTCATACAGTGAATATCTAAAACATTCCACTGAAACACATCCATTTCTACAAAATCGAAAACCGGTACGTCTAGTGGGATGCAAATTAGGAAATGTAATCGTACGTTTTGAAAATTTCATGTGGTATACGGAAATGCATCCTGCGATTCGAAAATTGATATGGTTTAAATGTCCTTTTTGTTCATTAACAACTCTAGAAAATAAGCATACAACTGCAATTTTAAGTAATCATTTACGAAATAAGCATTTGCATCGTTTGTCAGAGATCCTTAGTAAAGAAGCATTGGTTGATATTTTTGGTAAAAAATTTTTTAAAACTGATGTAAATCCAATTTCTGAAAACTTTGTGAATTCATTTACGAACGAAACAGCGAAGCAAACTATAATACCTAGAATCGTGAACGCTCGAACTATCTCTTCAGAAGTATTCGAACATGGCACAGAAGACGAAATATCTCTTTGGAAATATGATGATTCACACGTGGCATGGTCATCTAGATTAGAAATGAAACCATCAACAATGAAAAAGAATATTGATGATGAACAAGAAATAAAATCATTGCCAAAAATTGTCAGTGTTAAATCAATGAGCAATTTAAAACCATTTAAACTTAAAGAAACAGTCGTGAAAACTTCAACCAATGCAAAGGAGAAATCTAATTCTCAATTTTCTCAAGCTGAAATAGTTATAGATGACAAAGACGATCCATTAGCAAGTGAGAATGCGAAAGAAGTGAAATTAAATGACAGTATATCTGATAATAAGGAAGAGACAGAAAAGACAAAAGAGCCTGACAAAACTAACAACGAATCGATATCAATAAATACACATAATGTCTGTATAAATTCATCGACTCAATCGCGCAAAAGAATCTTGGATCCTGAGTTCATGACTAAACCAAGTATAGATGGTCGTATAAAGGTAGTTGATATTAAAAAAATATGTAAACCGAACATAGAACCATTTGTTACCAGTGAACCGAAGAGTACCCCAGTATTAGGGGATGAAAACACGAGTCACATAACGTCCACCTTACAACCTTCTGCCAAGATCCCGCAACATTTATTTGAATCTGAAAAAGTTTGCAAATCAGATAATGGTTCAAAGAATTTTAGGAAAAAAAAATTTCTTTCTCGAAGTGCGAATAAGACCAAAAAGGCGTATCGCTATACATGGAACAACAGGTATGCAAGAGATAAATATCGATTATCTGTGCCACTTATGTGGTGAACAAATTAATACTTCTAGATCCATAGTGGAAGCACACTTTCGTGAAAAGCACTCGCACGAATACAAGTTGGCGATAATTACTCCGCGATTGACACGGATAGCACCTGACTTTATTAATGGTGGTTATAAGCAATTTATCAATAGCAGAAAGCGAAAAGCGGATAGCGCTTTACTCATGTCCAAGAGGAAACGTCGATGGACTTCGAAGAAACATACGGAAACGAAGGATGCGAGTACACCCGTAGGATTATGCGTGGAACAGGAGACAGCAGAGGATGGCGAAGGAAATTTTAAATGCAAGAAATGCGATCAACGATGCACTGATATGTCCAATCTGAGGGAGCACATTGCTGCTAATCATCGATTAAAAGGTCGTTATGTGATATGTCTGGAATGCGGCGAGAATTTTGTGGTTACACCCAGCTTGCAGATGCATCTCAAAGCTTTCCATGGAATAGAGGATCCTATCAATTATATGAATCAAAACCCTTCTTATGCTCTTGGTGTCGATGGCGATTCGGAAGCGGAAGGAAAAACTACAGTGGCTAATCAGTGCTACGTCTGTATGGCAGTTTTCGAGGATAAAGCTGCGGTAGACAAACACTTGAGGGTGCATGGTATGGCTTTCCTAAATCGTAGGAGAGTAGAAGCGAGAAATGCTTTGAAAACCCCTGAGAAGAAGGCCCATATAGAGGAAGGAAATATTGCGAAAAACAGTCCAAAAGAGATGTTGAAACAAGATAAGCCAGCAGAAATAATTTTAGAAAAACTTGACGTGAGTAATATATTTATATAATTTATTATATACGTTTAAAGTAGCATTTTATCGATTTAACCAATGTTAAAATACTGGCTTTTTTTCAGGTTGCAATATAAAGTTGTAAGCGATTAAATGTAGAAAGAAAAATAATGTTGCTATAATAAATTTATTAATCTTATTTATAAGATTAATAATTTATTTTTGTGTGTATATTGGAACGTTCAACTCTTCATTGTTATTGCGAAATATTGTATCAGTAAATTATAAATTTTGTTTCTATTCACACACACACTTACTTTGTAATGTGTTACGTTTTTGTATAATATCTAAACAGAAGATGATCAATTTTGATATTATAATTATAGAATTGATTTTATAATTGTAGAAATATATATATAGTTTATTATGTATTATATACATATATGCGAAATATTTTATTAATTTTTTTAATGCATATATATATATATTTACTAAATGGGAAAATTACAATTTATGTTTGTTATAAATTTACTCTAAACAAAATAGATGGATGAATTCCACTTGGACATTATATCATGTTATAAAATAGATATATAAACATTATTTTAATAAAAATTCGAAAAATGTACTACACAGACAAATGTAATACATGGACTTATTGCATGCAGATATCGTATAAAATAATTATTGTATATAATTATTTATTCTCTACAGAAATCAATGTCTTTTTATACTGCATAGTTCTTAGTCATATATAATCATTTACAATACGTAAGAATAAAGAATTCTTTTATTAGTTAAATTTGTCATATTAATCATCTTTTTTAAAGAATTATACATTTCAGACTGGATAAAGGATTTCAGGATCAACAATGCGCAAAGATGAATACAATATATAGTTCTTTATTATTATATTCTTATTTGCACAGATAATGCTGATTATTGCTTAGTCACTAAAGTTTTAATGATTGACACATCGAGATGTTCGAGTGTTATGAAACAAGTCGAATAGATTTCATAAGGAAATCCTCTTTCACAGGTATATGTTCCTGTCATTTCTATCTACATATTTATATTGTATATTATATTAATATTCGGTGGCATGAAAATATCGTTCCAACGTGTAAACATTTTACAAACAAAATGTGTAGCATATTTTAAACCGCTCTACTTCGAGCAGATATTTTCATTGCACAGGTACTAGAGAAAAGGTTTTGGGTACTGAACACTTTGATCGTAATCCCATATGGGATTTTATAGTTCCCGTAAGAATATTTATAATTTGTCTCTTTACGCGTTTACAGAACTTTTAATTGCAGAAATATTTCATCTTTGATTAACACACATGTGTGCATGTTACAATATATAATTTACAATATATAATTTATTAAGTATTTTAAAAACAAATTTTTATCAATATAGTTATCAGATGAAATAAAAGCCCTTAAAATGTATATTATTTTATTATTTTGAGAAATTATATCTAAATTAAATTTCTTAAAATTATATATAATTTGACTATATATTTAACTATATATAATTTAAAATCAAAATTATTCTGCCAGAACGAAAATTCGTAGAAGAATATCGTAAATATGTGTTGGTCCCCTTTTTATGATTCATCAAGACAAACATTATATATTCCCACGGGTTCTATTTGCTTTTTTTGGCACAGTTACTAGCGAACACACATGTTTGACATTACGTTGCAATTGATCCGTAATCCCCACAGTTTGAGCATTACGAAACAAGAAATCTATAATCACACATATGCCATTTTGTAAATTCTCAATACACTCTATTCTATTTATTGATTCGACCACACCAATAAAATTAATTCTTTCGCATCAAGTGTTGATTCAGATATCTGTTTCTTCCTTTCAGTGATTTCATATTGCATTGACAATGTCGATTTTATAGCGTTCCACTCCACAATCACCGACTCTTATTGCTGCTATAATGATTAATGAATAATTAATTATAACTAATTTTAATAAACAACTTTCGTATTATTACACTATTTAACTTTATTTTATATGAATTGACTATCGAAAGATCTAGTTTTTCCAAATATTATTTCTAAACTATTTAATAATTGTTAATACATTTTAATGTTTTTTTATAATTTTCTTGTATTACATATGTAAACTATCACGAAGATATATTCACAAAAATCATTTCTACAATATTATTTTATATGGCATGTAGGAATGTCTCTGATCTATAATCTACCATATACATATATGAAAATCTAAATAGATGCGGTTTTTAATTTTATTTGATTTTAATGGATTGCCTATGCGATTACAATATTTTGATAGAATCACTCTATCAAAAGTCAAAATGTTAAGTAATGTGCGAGTGGAACACGAAAAAATCAACATTGTTCAGAAATTTTCCTCGATATACGTGTATGTTCTCTCTTAAACAACTTATCACTTGGATCTCACAACTTGGATAAATCTGTAACAATCACACATGTGCATTACGTTATAGAAGTCGATCTCTTGTTCTCGCAAGAAGCATTGATGTAAGAATCGACGTCAGTGTTTGATTCCTCCCTTGGATTATCCACCAGTATCGATCACTGACATTACCGGACTCGATGGACGAGATTTTGTTTCCTGACAAAAGTTTGAAACAGTGTCCTGTTGAATTTCCGAAGTAAAATTGTTCTTTAAGGGCACACAGTCGCTTGTACCATTGATTATCTTCAAAGACGAAGAGGATGACGAACTCGACCGAGTCGTCTTTAGCTCGTATTCAGCAGGACTGACTGGATCCTGACTGTCGTTTTCCCTAAATAGCTTCCTTAGATCATTGCCTAATCTTGCATCGACCGGACTCGCCGTTGAGTCTACGGTGATAGTCAAGGCCAAGGAATCTGGTGGTTTCCTACCTCTGATAGTATTGGCAAGTTCGCTAAAAGGAACTCCGACTTCACTTGTGGCCCATACATCAAAATTGGGACTGCATGAACCACGAGATGTTGTTTGGGCAGTCTTCGGTTTCGTCGCATCTTCCATCGAGTGCCAACGATGCGGTCTCGAAATCGATGTACCCTGCGCGATAGCGCTTAAACTATTCGCTGGAACTATTCGATGAGGAAATCGGGGCGAACCGCGTATCTTCTCTCGAGAAGACGACTGACTCGTGCTTGCCTCTGAAAAATTTTTTTATCTTTATTTCAGGATTCAAATTTGTTCAGAAAAATTCATCAGAATTTTCTTACGCGTTTATGCACATACAAAAATGTAAAATATATAAGATATTTAGAATTGTAGCTCTTCTGAATTCCTTATATGATACAAATTGTTTAAATTTAATATCTTTATATTTTTTATGAAAATTATCGTAACCCTTAAAGATAAAGATAAAGATTTTCTTATATGTGGTAAGAGATATTTCATTAAAACAAGATGTGAATTATGTAGGTCACTCACGTGGCGGTAAGCTGAAATTTACTCTAGGCTCGCTACTTTCCTTGCGACGTAGCCCTAGGCTCAATCTACGGTCTTCCTCGCTAGTAATACTAATTATTGGTCCTGAACCGCATCGTGCATGAGGCGAGTGAGTGCCTTGGGCATCTACCTGGCAAGTAGAGGCAGCCTTCGTCCCAGGCACTAAACCAGCAATGTAACCCATATGGACACGAAGCGCCGATGCAACTCCTAATAAAGGTAATATAAGCAGGATATAACGATATTTCAAATATATGAATTATATATAGATATGGAAACCGAACATGAAATATAAACCGCATTCATCAAAATGTTAAATCTATAATACTACATATGTGTACATGTGTTACATGATATGTAATAAACTTTTCTTTCTTTGTATGCATATTAACGAGATTTATGATTATGAATTATATAATATAAACTATATAATATTAACTATATAAATTACTATATATAATTAACTACATTAAAATTATTTATATTTATTTCTTTATAAGCTTATGGTTTTCTCTCTATAAACATAAGTTTATGACATGTGATACGATTGAACATAAATACAAATTATCCAAAATTGAATCAAAGCCATTATTATAAAATAAACTTTGGCTCTCCAATCTTTTATTTTAAATTTTTTTATACGTGCGTAGTTTTTATACGTGCTTTTATAAAAATTCTTTTGTGGAAAAAAATTTCCTTGCTTGCGCGACGTCGCATATATAGTTAAATTGTGTCTCTACCGCCTTGAGCTCTCCGAAGTGCTTTTATTCTTTTATTCTTCGACACTTGCTTACCGGTGAACGACGCGGTGGAGGTTTTCCTGCTACTCGGCCTGCTGCCGAAGAGACTGAAGAGTCGTTGAAAAACACCCAGGCGATTCGGCCCCTCGGTCTCCCGACGACGATGCAGTTTGTAAAGGTCGGCCAGGCTTTGTCTGGGATCGTCCGGTTCCAGATCCGGCTGGCTGCTAAATGCTACCGTACCGCGACGTATGCCTAATTTCAACAAGGGCCAACTCGTACATGACACGAAACCCCATTATATGCCAAGCAGTCATTATGATGGACGCGCATTATTGAGGCTTGGGTTCTATCTAGCCATCAGGACGTCAATTCCGCAGAAAGCGCATGTAAATTTAGGCGACATTTATGCAGAAGTCAGTCATGAATTTCCAGTTATGAATTTCAGCTAGGAATATTCCGTATTCTGGAAAAAAGACTTGTCGATCTATCTTGTCATCAGAGAGAAATCATAGTTTCATAAAGATGTGAATCAATCAACCTCTTTTTATTTTTGTTTACATCGATATTGTGTTATTCATTTATTATTAATGCAATTATTACGTTATTTTAGAATTTCGATTTTAATATTACTTACTGTAGCTTATTTAATCGTAATCAAAATTTACACTATTTTGAAATCACTATTATTTAATTCTCGAATGTTTTAATCGGATTATGACTGTAGCTTCAGTATGAAAATCGCCCACAGTAAGATTGTATGTAGCTATTTATACGGATATCCCTTCTCCCATACACGTTTTCGGATCGTTTCGGATTATATATATGTATGTATGTATGTATATGTATATATTCATATATAATATATTGAAATTTTTCAGTATAAAAATTGTCTTGAAGGAGAGAAAGAAGAGAAAATCTCTCGCAGTAGAATAAAATATTATATATAACTATTTACTCGTCATGCGTTTTTCATTTTGACGAATTCTCAAATATTCTTTGGTATTGTAATATATTCGAAATTTCTGAAGAGTTAGAAAATTATTAATATATAAAAAACATATTTTAAAAATTAATAAAAACGCGAATCAGATTAATGAGTAAGTACAACTGTTCATTAAATAATGACAGACGTACAATGACATACTTGTTAATAATATCGTAATTTGAAGGATCGATAATTAGTAGATATTTCCGTCATCTTTCAATACATGAACGCTGTAATATAGTGAATATGTTTTATACCATGTATACAAGTACGTAATTAATATGATCCACGAATATGTATAATGGGATACCTTTATTATCTCAATGAAAAATTTTTTTCCATGATAGCTTTTTGGTAAATTACAATTATATTTAATATTTTTTTCGAGTAAAAAATTGTTTTGAAAAATTTTTAATATAAAAGGAAGTTATTTTGAACAATTGAAGCTTATAAATTATGTTTTCAAATCCACTAAATTTATATGTGAAATGTTTTTGAAATTAGATCGTTAAATTTTCTTCGAGGAAAGCACGGCTTCAAAATTCCTCAAAGCATTTTCGATTCAGCTATTTTCCGACGGAGTGGTGAAACACTCTGTATGTATGCATGCATAGACGGCGCGCAGTCTTTGACTTCATTTGATCCGTTGATAGTAGACATTCAGAAATATTGGAGTGGAACGTGCAATTGGCGTGCAGACTCGTACGCGGTTCGCATGTATGAATTGTCCGGACTTATGAAAGGAATTCGAGATTTTCGGGAGATGTGAGTACAACGCGAGATTCGACAGCGATACAGAATCGATATCAGAAACGTATCAAACTGCGTTCGCGAGCTTTCGTTCGCTAATAATATATCGGCTAATATATTCTAGCGATCACGGTCAAGTTGATCTAGATGATAATTGATATATATATATATATATATATATATATATATATATATGTAGAATACGCGAGATCTCTCTATCCAATACACGTCTTACGCTTACGTATAATGTCATTGAATTATCAGAGCGTAAATATGCATGTGCATGACATTTGAAGACGGATATTTCGCGAGTGAAATGTGCGACATTTGTATTGCAAGTGACATAATCAGCCGATGAGTTTTCAAGGAAAGTTTCCTTTTGTCAATCCACGAGAAATACGCATAAGTGAATCAATTATAAAGTGCGTGTATTCCGCCTATCGCGAAAGATGTAAATGAATAATCGAGCGATTGCATTTTATCTCCGCAATCTGTAAAAAATAGATTAAATTAAAATAAATGGAGAGGGATTTATTTCTGCGAGCTTGAACACCTAGAATTTTCTATTCAATTCTGATTTTGATCAAATCTAAAATTAAATACTTCTAAAACTTTGTTAAAGAGGATTATGTGTCCACATTGCTACTTTGTTTTGTTAAGATTCTTCCTCTGCACTAAATACGAAGAAGCTTTATATACAAATGTATTTATAAAATCTTTACAGTGAATAATTAACGTATTAACTATAATTAAAGTTGAAATCTTTCAAATGATAAGTTTGCGCATGCATATGTTCTTCCGAAAAATAGTTGCTTTGTTTCGCAAATCTAATTTATGAAACTCGCAAATCATCCTAATGCTCCGAAACTTTAAAACTTTTAAACGGGATGTTTTTGTTCTCTTCTACACTAACATTTTCTATGATTCGAACTCTTTTCTCACGTTTTAAGTCAAGCAAGCGAACATGAGTGAACATGGGTAGTTTTTTAGGCAATCACGTGCAATAAGGGGATTTCTGTCACCTTTCTCGAACATCTGATCGACGGAAAAACGACGGAAGCGAGAAAAGCATTAATACTTGTAGTTCCTTCCTTCTCTCCTGCCTGCAAAGTCGGATTCGTCGTGCAAGTTTTGGCATGTCTATTTCTATCTTATTATGCTTTTTATTTCAATAATTAGTTATATTTTTATCATATATATTTCAAATGCTTTTATATTAATTAACTTTGACTCCGCACCTTCAATAAATAAAATGTATTTTGATAAAGAAAGCTTTTGTTGCTTTTTCAAAAAAGTAATACAGACATTAGTTTTCAAATTTAGACTGCTAAAATTCAATTTATTTACATTGTTTTGCAGGATATGATACAAAATGTATGATAGTGGTCGATCAATACTCTCTTATCTTCTTCATACTATATAAAGACGCGACGTCTTTTGTCGGATTTTTACTACCGTTAAAATTTATCTGACTGTCTTGAATTCAACCGACAAAAAAAGCAGATTAAATTTTCAAAATAATTTTAATATTTCAGACAGCGGAGATTGGAAAAGCGTTTTTTGCACGACGGATCTCCATAATTATTCATGATGTTTTACTCTTACCAGATGAATCTGCCGAAGGCCAGCTGGCTCGGGGAATAACCGGTGGCAGAACACTAAGCAATAATAGGGGTAAACCACCCCCAATGCTCGGATTTCGTTGCGGAATCGAGGTGCTTGATGAGGCGCGCGACGGTTCCGTTGGCTCTTGCGCCAGTAGTTTCTCCAATCTCGCCAATTCCAGTTCCAGCTGTGCCATTTCACGTCGATACACTCGGTTTTGCACCTCCACGCGATACTGTAATTCTCTGTTGTCAAAATATTGTTTTTAGAAAAATGCCACTGCATATTTTAATAATTTTTACGCAAATATTAAATGTCTGTTATTTTTACAAAAAATTTTAACAATTTTTACGCAAATATTAATTCTTTTATTTTTACAAAAAATAAATTTTATTAATAGTCAACTATTACATGATATTCAGGAATTTGTAAATGCAAGTGAGAATGAATATCTTGAAAATATGTATGACAAACATGTAGATTATAAAATGGTAAATATTTAAAATAGTTTCGCAAACGAGTCATTCAAAAGAAAATAATGCAGTTGTATTAAATAAGTTCAACAGTTGTTCTTAAACTTTGCAATCCGTAAACTGTCGTTTACGACGCAACACAAAATAATTTTTCTCTCAACTTTTCATTTTTCACTTTTCAAAGGAATGCGAGGGGATTCCAAAACGTAGACGCGACATTGTTTCGAGGTTGATTCGCTCGATTAACCCCGGTTAAAAGGAAAGAATCTCTTATCACTACATCGAACAAAACTATTATATTTTATCGTGCACAATTCGTTATTTTATATTTTCTCTATTTTTTCAAGGAGAAATTCTTTTTGATCACTCACCTTTTGTCATCGGTGACAAATCTACGCGTGTTGCATTCGATCTTGAGACCGAAACTCTGCACGACCGGATCGGCTCTTTCACCCGCTAGTATGTTCGCCAATTGGGGCAGAAAAAGTAGCGCCAAGGTTGCCGTCGTCGAAGCCAAGATGAGGGCAGTGATCGTGACGAAGGTCAGAGTCGCGCGGTCGGGCATCAAGTTGGCTAACACTACGACGATACCTGATGTGATTACTACAAAGTACACACTCATACCGATGTATTGCGAGTCGTTTAGGGCTGGAATCTTTACGTGCCTGAAACCATCAGCGATTCGTTCGTGTATTGTATATCTCCGTGTGAACTGACAGTACTTAAATCGACGATTAAGGTGCCGATTTATATTTGACAATTTTATTTATACCTTATTATAGTTTAAACGATCAATATTCGAGAAGAGCAATAAACAAAGCAAGATTATATTTTAATAATTCTGCGGAAAATTATAGATATGAAGAATTAATGTCTACTCTTTCGAAGCCATTCGTAAAATATGCAACAGATTATCTCTATTAGAGAGAACCCACTTTGCCAACTTCGAAACGTCTTATCTCTGAGCTCACCTCGTTTCCCATGCCATATAAACCCCGACTACGAGCAATAAACCTTTGTAAACATAGAGAGCGCTTAACCAGCCGTTCGTATGCTGCGAACGGCACACCTCCACCTGTGCAAGGATAAATAAAAACGAGTTAATTGGTTAGGACTCATTAATGATGATTACGTAATCATGATGTTCAGCTGTGACCGTTCGTGGTTCGTTCGAGATGACGAAACGACCCAGCACGTGTATTCTCGCATTGATTACCTGAGGTTGATAGACGACCCCCCGGTCTTGCGGGCTAATCTCTAGGGTCAGATTTTGCAAGTGACGTTGCATCGGGTCTAAACTCACCCACAGCGTTACCACGACAACGTCAATCACCAGGAGCATGCAGATCAAGAATATCAACTGGGTATCTTGAAGCAACTGGAAAGTACAAAGCGATAAATTTTTCGATTTATATTTCTAACAATAGAATCGAGTTTATAAGAATGCGAAAGCACGTGTAATTCTTTTCGAAGTCCTTATCGATACAAATATTGATTTTGCGTTTGATCACCGTGGGAAGAGAATTATTGTCATGTCGGCTAACCTTGTTTTTCACGACCCCGCTTCGGCTCCTGGTGAAAATCCTGTGTACTCGATAAGTCTTTGTGAACATTGAGCCAAAAGCCATTGAGAAGCCGGCCGATAAGAGATATACTCTTGCCTGAAGATCGAAAATGCACACGACGCGTTTATGTTAATTTCCATTTTCAAATGAAAATATCTCATAATATAATTTATACGTAAGATATTACAAGAATGAACAGTCTACAATTTCTAGCAAATAACTTCTATAATAACTAATATATAATTTTCAATATTACAGGCATTATATAAAATTGCATACTGTTGCATAATTTCATTACTATCGCATGTTATATTTCAGTATATAAAAATTACACATCATTCGCCAAATACATAATAACTTTTCTTTTAATTTTTAGACTCGAACGCATTTAAAAGAGAAAGAGAAATATGTCTTCAATATAAAATTTCTTATATATTAATTTGTAAATCGCCTTTATGCATGTATATATATATATATTAATAGAGATTATTAGCATACATTATGTAAATCAAACTAACACCCATATTATTGATCGCAACTTGAGGGACATTAATACTCCCCATAATGGATGTTAATCACCTTGCACACCGTAGGATAATAACCATCGCTGTCGGGCAATGTGGCATCGTCCAGTCCCAAAAGTATAACAGCACCATAGACCAGACCACAACCAACGGCAGCCATATTATTTAGCCTTGGGCTTGAAAGTTTTATGCTTCTGCCAATATCCAGGAATAATGAACTTGAATGATATATCGCGATGATTTACATATAAATTCATCGATATATAGCAAGCGTTATTCCCGTGAACAAGCTACCTCTTCATTTGTTTTGATTCGTACAAAATATTGCCTCGATATATTCTTTTACGAGGTTTTCTATTAAAATAATTTATAAAAAAATTTTTTTAAAGTTTAATTAAATCAAATAAATATTCAGAGAATAGATTTGCATTTTTTGAGTAAATAGTTTAATGGATGTTACTTAAACGCTTGTGCTTTATATATGATATATTTTACCTTTATTACAAGACACACAGTGTTGTGTGTGTTGCTCATATTGAACAATAAGCTTACTTGTGTTTACGAAAGTGAAGATTGAAGGCCAGGAAAACAAGAGTCAAAGTAACACCAACACTGGCGATGCAGGTAATGACGAGGAATGCAGCAGGTGCCACTGTCACCATTCGTAATCTGCATGCAATAATATACAGGATTACTCGGATAGTTCTCTGGATTTGATGAATTATCGACCGATGTTATCGAACGATGTATAAATTAATTTAACGCGTTGTTTCGCGATGTTATAATTGCTATTGCTATTATTGTACATAACTCGGTATAAGCTGTGATTACATCATCGAAATATTGCAAATGAACACGTGTCAAAACGGTTAAATATTTGATGGCGATGATTTTGCCACATGTCTATCAATTGCATAACATTAATTATTTCAATTAATTTTTTATTTGTGATAAAACTATTAATGCTTATTTATATTATTAAATATTAACTTTTGGATAATTAATGACTAATTATTGATTTGTGTAATAAGATTAGACGTAAGTGTTATGAGCCGTACTATTTCTTTATATTCTATCACATGTTTGTTTTCGGTCACTTAAATATGTTTATTTAGACATATAAATTTAAAAGAAATTAGGAGAATTTTGGGTTTATCTATTAACAATTGAGCGGTTCAATTGAGCCTATTAATATTGATAATACGTACCGGAAGACTCTGCGAGCCGCTGGCACTTGCCCTCCGGGCCATCTTGTAGCCACACATCCTGGACAGTTCATTATCAGTTTCCCATCTTCGGGAGTGTAGATGGCTATTTTGTTCATAATGTGTCCTGTAATCGAAAAACTTTTCGATCAAGTATCCGAAGCGCGTAAAAGTGCCATTAAATTGCAGTTTTAGATCCAGTAAATAAGTTAAGTAAATCTTAAGTACATACAGTAATGATAACCATTATTTAAAATTATAATTACTGACGTAAACTTTTTAATTTAATGTTTTTATTATAGTTTGATTTAATACTTATTATTATTGCTTTCCTTTTACTCAGATTACACAGTTTCTGAAATGTGCAAATTACGATTATCTCAGATATAGAAAGTTATAAAATTCTATAACGATGTAGTGAGATAGATTTTTTGTCAGAATAAAAACTACCGATTTTTACTTTGAACTAAATTTTTTATCCGCTTTGCTCTATTTAGATTTCTTCTTTCTTTCTCTTTGTGTGAATGCCTGACTAAAACTGCTCCGTTCGTGCGTCGGAAAATAAGTAGCGAAAAGAGATCGAGACGTCCAAAGGGACGTTTATTCAAGTTGAGAGTGTAATTTCCTCTCTTTTATCATTTCCAATTGTTTGCACATCTACTATCTCCTTCTTTTTATTGAAGGCAATTTTGAAACAGAAATTAATTACTCCACTAACTATCCAAAACTGATAAACTATAAATAGGAGGAATTTTGGTAGATAATTTATGAGTAAAAAATCAATGGCATCAAGCAATTTGCAATTATGTTTGATTAAATTTTTAAGTATCATCCAATATTAATTCCAACAAAATAGACATCTTTTGTCAAATTCTGATGATTATCTTCTTATTGGAGAAGGAATTATATTGCATATCGAAAGAGCAACGTTAATCAAATCGAAGCTTTAATTGCTTCTATCTCATCGTTCAATATCTTTAGAAAATCCATTACTCGCCTCTTTTTCTCTCGTACTCATCTGGCGATTTATCGGCCAAAGTCGATAAGCTTGGATATTCGCAAGGCAAAAGGTAGATTGGAGCCGTGAGAACCTTGTCAGCATTGCTATCATCGCACCTGAGGTCGAAATTTCAATGAAAAACCTATTCAAATAACGGATTAAACGCTATTCGATTAATCTGATCGATTTTGAAAGTAATCAGTAGTTATAGCAAAGCGTAGCACACGAAAAAAGTTATGGCAAATACTTTATGAGAAAATATATACTTGATTTTAAATTAATTTTAATTATTTCCTTATAATAGTTGGACAAAATTTTTATTTATTTTTCCTTTATCATTTCATGTGTCATATTATTTTATAATTTTATAATGTTATTTATAATAAATATGTAAGTAAATGTATCGTCCCTTTTATAGATGCGACACTAGTCAAATATATAATAATATTGAATCTAATAGTATCATATGATAGAAAATTGATAACCTGTTACAATTTGATAACCTGTTACAATTTGATGATAGAAATGATATATCGCTCAATTCGTATTTTACTCGTAACATTACACATATTGATTCAGTGACGATGCGATATCCAAATTGCCTTGAATCAATAAGCTAGCATATTTCCAGGAAATAATGTTAATTTGACTGTAGATTACAAGTGAATAGAAAACTAAGTTTAAAACTAAGTTTCTCGGAGTTTTCAATCGTGGAGATGCCGAAATATCTCTAATGAATCTTTAAGCAGATTTTTCTTTCATGTCTTCTCGATTCTGAAATAAACGATAGCGATTCTGGAATCTGTATCAAGTCCTAGAAATATAATCGATAATTAATTTTTTTTCAGTAATGCACATATATATTTCAATATATAATTAGTACGTAGTATAATATCTATTGTCAATATATGTGTTGTGATTAGTATAATATCTATTGTCAATATATTATTTATAAAAATGTTTGACACTGTTGAATATTAAATATTTTATACGTGCATGTGAGTAATACTTGGATTATAAAATTTAAATGTAATAAAGTGAAAAAGAAATGTTCAAGAATAAGTAAAATTATATTTGAACTTTACTTTATATAAAAATAGATAACTTCTGTATAAAGTTGAAAAATTCACTTCAATAAGTAAAACTTCTAGATCTTACCAATTAAAGAACGCGGTCTACTCAGAACATCAACCTGTTATGATGTTAGATTTAAAGTTTCAGTAGCTACTTATCATGTAACAAACGCGCGGACCGAGTGCTTTGCCAATTTTTGTTATTCTCATTATGTAGAGTTTTAGAATCAGTCCAAAGCGCTCTCTGTACGTTCGTTGACAATTTTCTTTTATAATTCCAAGAGCAGTTAGCTGTTTCACGTCAACTTTAATTCTAAGAGCAACAAAGAATAGTCATGTCGTCGGATTTATTATTCCTGCTAGAAACGACAAGCAAGCGAATGCTTGCAATTTATGCTATCTGTATATTGCCTTTTGTTTCTCTCCGTACTACGTTTATGCGAGTTTCTTTTTACTCGTAGCTCGAGCAGCGTTTAAGCCATTTTATACAAGCTATATTTCACAAAGTCAAATTCATGATACAATTTTACTTAGAATTTTATCTGCGCATTTAATGCAAAAAATATATCTTTATCAAATTCTACGCATTATATCTAAAATTTAAGAAAGAATTTTATCGAATTTTCCTGGAGGTCCTCTCGTGCACTTTAGACCGCGCAAAGCAAGCTTAACAGTATCCTGCATTCAATAATTTGCTTGGCTTTCATTGCGTAAGCTCGCACATTGATCTCGCGAACTCTCATATGCGACGCGATGGCGATTATCATTTGGTAGCGAGGGAAAAAAATTAGCGCGCGTCATTACATACCCGTATAATACATTGTCGGCTAAAACACGTTATGAACCGTGATATCCGTTCTGGTCATTTGAACACAAGCGGCGGATAAAAGGATTTACGTCGTTCGCGGTTTTATAGGTGGTTTTATTTTACTTTTTTTTTCTCTATCCATCATGCATACATTTCAACATCGAGAGGCAATTTCTCCAGCGAGGAACCAACGTAATATTTCGTGATAAACCCGCGACAACATGGTACGTGGTGACTGCTCTTGCGAGTTTAATCTCGCGTGCAAATTGAGCGCGACGAATTTTAGAATGCACTTTGAATTTCTCCGCAGCGGAACTAACAGAGATAGTATGATCTCGTGCATTAGAATTATACGTATTACACATACATATTGAAATAATAAAAAATACATCCTCTTTTTAAGTAACTTTCCGATATATTGCGATATAATGAAGTGAAGAAGCGAAATGGATCGCCGTAAATGGTGGTCAATGGTGATTAATGGGAAAGTAGCGGAAGTAACAAAATGAAATAATATTGTACGATAAATGTTGGTGACATAAACACAATTGCCTGGATATTGTTAGAGAAATTCGAAATAAGTGACAAGTCCATTTGGTCCATTTTTGACTCTATTTGATAGATATGTAATCAAGACGACCATACAATCATCTGATTGTCATAAATAAAACAAAATTCAATTGCTGCAATTTCTCGCTCGCACTCGTTTATATCCGATTTTCGATACAACGTAATATACAACTTGGTCTATATTTTTTCTCTCTTTTTTTTAGAGATACCAAATCAAATCGATATCCCATCGTGTAACGACCCATCGTATAAGGAATCTTCCCTATATCGCATCACTAGTTCAGTGTTCTTCGCAACCCTCGTTGACCTATATGAACAACCATCATCCAGTCAGTTCAATCCATCGCCCTCGCTAAATTTTTTTCATCCATCATTATACGATCAAATAAGGATACATGAGAGATACGTGATTTCAACCAATCCACACCATTTAATATGTTGTACGAAAGGCAGATCGATTATATTTCGATTTTTTCTATATCTCTTTCGAGTATCCAATATTGACAATGCGAGGCTTGGGCTATTTGCTGTGAAATTTGATAGATTGCAGTAGGAGTTTGACAGCTGGAAACAAACGCGCGGTGTGAAAAAAAAATAAACGAAAGACAGGTCACAGGTGGTAAACGCGCAGTCGATACTATTTAATTTGTCCAAATAGCAGAGCCCTTTGTGTGACCCCTCTTTGTAGTCGTTATTGACGCCGAAAATTCGTGCCAGTTTGTTGACTTTATCTAAAATCGATGCCACGGACGCGGTACGTAAAAAAGAAGCCGCATCTTCGCGATGCTCCGAGCAGAGTTAACGAGTTAAGCGACGAGTATATAATATACCGTAGACGGCGGTTTTCAGAATAGCGAGAAAATGGCGAAAGGTCAGATCGAGCTTTGCCGAAAGAGACAGGAAGCGACAAAGAATATGACACTCGTTTTTGACGAAAGTACCATAAGTTAACTCTCTTTGATAAATTGCAAAAATTTTCTTAATGGAGGAGAACATTTTCTCTGCCGCACAATTATTTTTGTTCCAATTGAAACATGATTAATGAGTTTCCACGTGATATATGAAGAGGAAAATAATTTTCGATGAATTTCGAAAGTTTTTTTCATTGTAAGAAGATTAGACATGAAAATACACTCACTGAAAATACACTGTGGGATTATGAGCAGTGGAAATAAAATATTTGATGTCTCTAGAAATACACGGATCTTGCTACTGAACAAAGAGAGAGAGAGAGAGAGAGAAAAGTAATGTTAAACCTTGCGGTAACATACTAAGAGGGTCTCAAGTTTAAACAAAGCGCTTTGGATAATCTGCGTCTCAATTTCTCTTTGTTAAGCTGACTAGTGGCAAGAGAAGACAGATGCTAATATTTGTTGAAAACTTTACACAATCTCTTTTAAAAGTTCATAACGGGTTCTAATAACGAGTTTTTGATAACATTTTTCTAATAATAAGAAATGACTTATTTCGTTTATACTATTTATAACGCGTATAGATCAATAAAATCTTTATTCTTATCTAAAAATACAATCGTTACGTCAAAATGTATTAAGGGATAATATTTGATAGATGGATGATTCTTACGATCTTTAGCTTCGAAAAAAAATATTTATATCTCACATATACGCCATAACAAAAGACGAAAATACTGAGCAGAGGAGATATTTGTCTTCTTT